CTATATATTTACAAAGTTCCTTTAAAACCTAGATAACTGCTGCAAATAATATAAAGTATCTACTACTGCAACCCCGAGAATATATACTAATATAAATTAAACCTGTTAGGAAACACCTGTTCCTATAGGAATATAAACTGCTATACCCTAGTTATTACTAAGAGTGTCCGGCACTATAAGAATTATAGAAGTCTCCGAAGACCTAATAGATTTTTTAAAAGGTTGCTTAACTTAATATAAAAGGAAGGAATATTACTATTATAGATCTAAGAAACACTTTATCTATAACTGCCCTTAGCCTAATAAACGCTCTATCTGCTCCCGCCCTATTTATAAAAATATATCCTTCCGGAGCCCTTTACCGCCCTCTACTAAATATAGAACCCGGATACTACTAAAACCTGCTTCTCCCCTATTTTCTACTTTAATAAAAGAATTAAGCCTAATATAGGTTGCAGTTAGGCTTATATACCGCGCACTATATAAGTATCTACTACTACTATTTAAGGAATAACTATTAAAGAGGAACAGGTTATAAAAGCTAACCTGTTAATTATACCTGTATATTTAGAATACTAGGGCTAGAGTATTCTAGCGCATAGTATAATTAATAGTGGCTGCGAAGGGAAAGCGCTAGTTAATAAAAACTAGGTAAAGTATTACTATATCCTAATAATTCCGCTTAAGTACCCTTTTTACCTAGAACTAGCCGATAGAGGCAATTCTAAAGCGGGTAAAGTAACCTACACTGTTTAGGTTTAATTACGGATAAATAAATATTTAGAGACCGTTTAAATAGGGGTAACTAAACTAAGTTATTACCCGATTATTCTAGGAATCCTGTAGCTACGCCTGTATAATCCTATACCGGACTAGTCCCGCAATACGCTATAGTTTATAAGCTAGTACTATTATAAACACTGTAATATACCGTAAAAAGCAACGCGTGTATAAGGAATTACTAACATTCTAAAAAAGAACTGCCTGGAGTACCTGCCGCCTGCACTAAAAAACCTAGAAGGGAAGAATATAGCACCCGTTTCCTTACGCGTATATAGCGCCTACCTATAAAAAGGATATAAACTCTTTTCTATATTACTAGATAATATTAACTATATTCTATCTAAAAAGAAGGGCTTTAACCTAGACCGCCTGCCTAAAGAACTATAAGAGTTTACTAATATTTTTTCGCCTAAAAACGCTAACTGCCTGCTACTGCACCGCCTGTATAACTATAAGATTAAGTTAGAAAAAGGAAAAACGCCCTTCTTTAGACCCTTATACCTAATATCCCGTAATAAGCTAATAGCTCTAAGAGAATAGGTAGTAGATAATCTAAAGAAAGGATTTATCCGCCCTAGCTCTTCGCCTGCTGTATTACCTGTGTTATTTATAAAAAAGCCTAGAAAAGGCCTCCGCTTCTGCGTTAACTACTAAGCGCTAAATACTATAATAGTTAAGGACTGCTACCTGCTACTATTAATAAAGGAAACCTTAAGCAACCTAAAGAGGATAAAGTACTTTATAAAAATTAATATTATATCTGCCTTTAATAACCTATATATAAAAAAGGGTTAAAAATAGCTTACTATATTCTAAACCCGACTAGGACTGTTTAAAACCTTAGTAATACTATTTAGGCTTACTGGAGCCCCTGTAACGTTCCAATAATTTATAAATAACACTCTGCGAGAATATTTTAATATTTTCTATACTGCCTACCTAGATAATATTCTAATTTACAGCCGGAACTAAACCGAACACCTAAAGCATGTCCGTACTATGCTAAAACTGCTATAAAAAGCAGGACTCTATATAAAGATTAAGAAATATAAGTTCTTTGCTAAAGAAATAATATTCCTGGGCATTATTATAGGAGCTAACGGCCTATAAATAGACCTAGAGAAGATTAAAGCCGTAATAGACTAGGAGATACTAACTCGCCTAACTAATATATAAGCTTTTATAGGATTTAGAAACTTCTACCGCCGATTTATTAGAGACTTCTTAAAAATTATTGCTCCGCTAGTATACCTAATAAAAAAGGGCGTTGCCTTTATATAGGATGCTGCCTATTAGAAAGCTTTTACCGAATTAAAAAAAGCCTTTACCTCTGCACCTGTCCTAGCACTATTTAACTAGAATAAGCCTATTATTGTGGAAATAGATATATTTAATTATATCTTAGCTGGCGTCTTATTATAGTACAGAGACAACAGAATCCTGCGCCCTATTATATTTTTCTTGAAAAAGTACTTAGTTGCAGAATACAACTATAAGATATATAATAAGGAACTGCTTACTATTATCTAATACTTTAAAGAATAGAAACTAGAGCTTAAAGGCGCCGCCTTACCTATTAAAGTTATTACCGACTACTATAATCTAGAGTACTTTATAATAATAAAACTACTAAACCGCCGCCAGGCCTGCTAGTCTAAATTCCTATCCTATTTTAATTTTAAGATTATATATCGACCTAGAAAACTTAGGGTAAAGCCCGATTCTTTAACTAGGAGGTTAAAGGACCTGCCTAAGGAAAGGGATAAACATTTCTACTACTAAAGCCAGATAATTCTAAAAAAATTAAACTTTAAAAATAAGATAGAAAAGAAAACTATAAGGAAAGTAACCTTTAAGAATAAAGCTAAAATAATAGCTCTAGCACCCGTAAGAACCCGGTAAAAAGGCTTATTACTAACTTCCCTAGACAACGCCCCGCAAAATAAATAAAAGACTAAGGGAGATATAGAACTACCCTCTATAATTGCCGCCCTGCTAAGAACAGTATATAAAAAAGACCCTATCCCGCTATTAGTTCTAAAAGCCTTAGAAGAAGAATACTGCCGTTATATAAAGCTTATATTAGCTAAATACTAGAAAAAAGGTAGATACCTATACTATTAGAACTGCCTATATATACCCGACTATAATAAACTAAAGGTAGAACTTCTGCGCATATACTATAGGAATACTATTACCGGCCACTCTAGAAAATCTAAAATATATAGCCTAATAGCCTGCAGTTACTACTAGCCCGGAATACTACCTTATATAGACTATTAGGTTAGGAACTGCTAGATATATAAGAGAACTACTCTATTATAAAAAGCCTACTAGGGTATTCTAAAGCCGCTGCCTATTCCTAAAAAAGCCTAGCGTGATATATTAATAGATTTTATTATATACCTGCCGCGTAGCGGAAAGTATAATATAATCTTTATTATAGTAGAACGCCTAACTAAAATAAAATACTTTTTTGCCTATAAAGGGACCTGCAACGCGGAAGATATTATAAAACTTTTCCTAAAAAATATCTAGAAACTATACAGCCTGCCTGCCTCTATTATATCTAACTAAGGGCCCTAGTTTATAGCTAAATTCTAGAAATACCTAACTAGCCGCCTAAGGATTAACTGCCTACTATTAACTATATACTACCCTAAAACTAATAGCTAAACTAAGAAAGCTAATACTATCCTAGAATAGTACTTATAGGTATATATATCCTATTTATAGGATAACTAGGCTAAATAGCTGCTTTTAGCTAAACTGTTAATTAATACTATAAATTCTAAGAGCACCTATATCTCCCCCTTTTTTGCAAACTATAGCTTCTACCTATATCTAGGTTTTAAGCCGGTTAAACTATTAACCCGCCTGCCTACTAGAGACGCTAAGCGCTTTACTAAGCGTATAGAAGAGATTTTGGAATATCTAAAGTCTGAACTTACTGCCTTCTATGCCCGATATAAGGATAATATAAACTATAACTGTCGCCCTGCTTATAACTATTAAGTTAATAACTTAGTATAGTTAAATACTAAGAATATTAAGACCCTTTGCCCCTAGAAAAAGCTAGATTAGAAGAATTTTAAACTGTTCCGCGTAGAGAAGGTTGTTAGCCCTTATATATACCGCTTAACCTTACCGGAGAGTATACGCAACTACAACATCTTCTACATTAGTTTACTAAGACCTGCCGTAAATAATCCGCTGCCCGGCCAGCGTTAAGAACCACCGCCGCTAGTTGAAGTTAAAGGCTTGGAGGAGTAGGAAGTTGAGGAAGTTATTAACTCTCGATAGGAGCGTCGCGGTTGTGGCCGCCCCTGCCTGAAGTACACGGTAAAGTGGACCGGATATAACAAAGTTATAGAAGAGCCCGCTAACTATCTGGAACATGCCGAGGAAGCTATTCGGTTGTTCTATCGCTGTTACCCTAAAAAGCCCGGTCCTTAGGCCTTAACGGAGTTCGGCCGTAAAAAGGGGAGTACTGTTACGGCTTGAACGGTAAAGCTTGCTGCACAGCGTAACACGTGATGTTAGGACCCGGCGAGAGGCCTTATTGTAAGGGCCTATGCGAGCCTTAGCAGGAGTATACCTGCCGACCGCCGCCCTGCCTTTTTATAGCTCCTTAAGCTATATCTTATTATTTAAACCGCCTGCCTGCTGTGCATTATAGAACACGTAGTGAATTTAGTTATTACTTCTACCTACCTGCCCGAGCTAGCTAGGGCAATTCTGCCGCCCGAGACCGTAATAATTAGCTGCCTAAGAAATACCTAATAGTTTTATAGCTTCTATATACGCCTGTTTAAAGCTTTCTATACTTAGTATAGGTACCTAGAAAATAGAGAACTCGGGCTAGCTCTTTTTTACTATATACGTAAACTATAGTATAACCTATATTTTACCCGTTTTTCTAAGCCTAATAATTAATATTTTATAGCACGCTTTATCTACTATAAGCCTCTGCTTTAGTATATTAAGTTTAGCCTTCCTTTTAATAAAGGACCGGTTTAGAAGAAATAGAATAGAGTAGATTACCCTTTTTATTATACTATTAGCTATACTATAATATATAGAAAATAGCAGCTATACTAACTACTTGCGCTTTAAATAGCCTTTTCGGCCGTGCAAGTCTTTACTATATTAGCTGGCGGGATTACTAATAGTACTTCCTTTATATATACCGCTATAATCCCCGCCGAGTATAATTACTATCTCTTATTTTTATGCAAGTCTGCGTAGTCGCAGATACCGCGGATAACTAGGTATAGGAAGTTGTTTATTAAACCTGCCGCCTCTATCTCGAAGCAGAGCACGCTGCTAAGCTCTACGCTAACCCTATTTCTTTCCGCCGCATTTTTTATAACCTAATTTCCTAACGCAATTATCCTATAGTAAACTATTACCCCTTAACTATTATAAAGCTGCTAACCTTTTTACCTATTTATACTATACTTATCGCAGGTTTACCCTTTTTTATAGTTATAGTCTTCCTTAAATAGAATATTAGGCCTAGCCGCCTTATACTAAAAGTCGGGTATATAGCTAAATTTTTACAGGTATTTAAATACCTTACTTCTATTTTAGAGTTTATTTGCTTACACCTTTATAACTGCGCTAAGCAGTATCTACAGAGAGGTGTTAAGCGATTCTATTTTTTTAAACCTGCTTAGCGTTGCCTTACTAAAGTTATACTAGACTACTCTACTAAAGGTTTTATCTAGCTAGCTAACTACTATATCCCCGAGTTAAATATCTACTGCTGCGCTGGGCACTTCTCCGCTAATACTAACTATTAGCCTAAATCGGATTTCCTTAAACGTTGTTTTTATCTGCGTTACTATAACTACCGTAAGGTTATTACTAATACGTCCTGCCGGTAGATATATAATCGCGATATTATATCCTGTAATTAATTCTAAAGAGTATAGATTCTTATTATTATTATTAATATTGCGCTTAATATCTTTATACTTTTCGTCCAGCATCTCCTGCGCCGCCGCTAGCTTAGCTAAAAGCGCGTATACCTATTCTACTATATATTCCTTGCAGGATAGCCGGGGTATTTAGAGTTATTATAATAGAAGGTAATAAGCAGAGGGGTAGTAGAAAGTTTTATACGGAGTTTAGAATAAAAGTAATAGTTAGGAAGTACTAGCTTTTCGGCGCAGGCAGATATATTGCTATTTAGCCTTATAGCGCACTCTAGCGGGCTGCTTCTAAATAAGCTAAACTATTAATATCCGGCGATAGCTATAAGCGCTAGTATAGGGCAGAATTAACCCTTATAGCCTACTATTAGCCTAATATATAAGTAGAGGCACCCTAGTATTTAATTTTATACTAGTACCTAGCTAGCTCGGTCTATATTATAGTAATAGAGGCGCGAATAGGTAGTATAAGAAATAGGTGGTAATATTGCGCCCGGCTACTAAAAATAGCCTATATATAACCGCTTATAGATACTTTTATAAAAGTGCTGTATTTTAGGTAAGCGTAATATATAATATAACTAGTATAATATATATTACCGCGCTAAACCGTTATACTAAAACCTGCTATAGACCTTTTTACCTATATAAATCCGGAATATATATTTTTAAGGGTCTAGTCCCCTTAAAGCGTAAACGTATCTTCTTTTATTATAAATCTATTAAATTAGTGCTCCGAAATTTAATATTTTAAAAATAGTTATAGTATAGTAGAAATATAAAGCTAATATAATTCTAAATACTCTAAAAAAACAATTAATAGCAGATTAAAAGTATTATATTTTTTTAGCTATATACTAGTTTTCTAGGCAGAAATAGCTAAAGAATTATAATACACTAACTATAACTCGATAGAATCGTAAGGAAAAGAGCTAGAATACCTAAATAATAGATTTATTCCGGTATAAAAGGTTTTCCGCCACGTAGAGGGGGATATTACCCGTTAATTTTCTTAGTATAGGGTTTCTTAGCACGCAGGGACTAACGTTAGTAAGCGTGCCTAAAGTAGATCTAATTTATATATTACATGCCCTTATATTATATACACGGCGGCCGAATACTAACCGAATATTAAGAATTTATATTCTTTTCTTCTAAACCTAATTTGCCTTTAAATTACTACTAATAGCGCAACGGGCCGCTTCTAGAATAAAGCCCTATTTTCGGCCTAAGCTGTTATCGTTGTTATATTGTTAGTATTATTATACGCAGCAGTTTTTTAGGTATATAATACTAAGGAACAGGTATTAGGCGATAGCGATGTAGTAGTAATATATTAAAAGGATATTACTATTATAGAAAGTTTTTAGTTAGCTAGCAAAGTACTTTACTAGCGTGCTAAGTAAGCTATTAAAAAGGAATTAGAAGAGGAAGCGAAAAGTTTATAATAGGAAAAGTTATAGAGTAATATAAGTAATAAATACACTTAGGAGTATTAGGCCTTAATAAGCGATTAACGCTATAGCGGCTAATAGAGGCTATAGTAGAAATCTAATAAGGTTTTTTATAATTTTATAGCTAGCTTATAATCCGGCGTGTTATTAAAAGGCTAATAGAGTATTCTATAATAGTGTAGTAGTAAGTAGTAATCTAGCGGCGGCAGGCCTAGTAATCTAAAGTATAAGTAAGGCCTACCTAGCGCCTCTATACTTTCCTTTCTATACTTAACTTTTTTAAGTAAGTTCTAACTTCTTTAATACTTTTTTAAGCTGCTTTTTCCTTCTATTTTTAATCCTGTATTAAAACTTCTTTTTTTTTCTTTTTCTTACTTTTTACTTAGATCTGCTATTACTATAACTATAGTAGATACTTACCTAAGCTCGACTGCTTTAGGCCTGCTAGCCTATTAAGTATAAGCGCTTTAGTAGCTTATTATTTTTAAGCAGCTATTTTAACTTGCTAATATTGCTTTAATATTATAAGCACCTTATTATTAGTTTAGAACTTTATTTTTAGTCCTAATTCTACTCCGGAAACTTACTTAATAGCTAGTAAAGTATTCTACTAGCCTATTATAAATATCTTTTAGCGGCAGCAGCACTATTTTAAGCAGCCGTTCCGATATAAAGCCTTAATACCTTTTTCCCGCTATTATATACTTTTATTAAGCTCCTAACCTTATAATAGCGCTGGTAACGGCGATATAGTAATAAATAAGCCGCTTAATAGGCTACTAGAGCGTAACTTAAAAGCGAATTAGGTTTAGAAAATATTTTAGGTGTTTCTAATAACTAACTAATTAGGTAGGGAAATCTAGCTAATTTTTAGGCGTATATAACCTAAAATATCGCTAATTATTAGCTTATTTATACTACCCCCCTGTTTTATAATATACGAAATCGCGTAATTTAACTAAACTTGCACGATTTAACCCCTAATTAGCAATAATCGGAGAAAATTCGCGAGATTCGGAAATCGCAGTTTAAAGGGTTATATAGCTAAGTTTCCTAGAAATAGAGAAGGGGATATATAGGAAACGGAAGCGGAAGAAAAACTAACGCCGCTTCTAGAAGATAAATATAAGCTTTTCTGCTAGCTCTAGGCAATATATTAACTTTTAAGGGCTTAAAAAGGTTACTTACTAACCTAGTTAATATTATAAAGTAGAGGCGTCCGAGTTTTAGATATAGTAGAAGGCGAATATATAGATAGTATTAAAGAAGAAAATATAGCGTTAAGAAGATATTAGGATAAAAGGATAACTAGAGAGCGACGTTTTGTTAATAACTTACCTATTTTAAATTAACAATTTTAAATTAATAAGCTGTTGGTTTAGAAGAATATCTAGACTTAGAGGAATATATATTATATTTATATAAAGTATAATCCTAAGTTAATACTAATATACGTAAAGAACTTAAAAGCTTTGCTAACCTGCTAACTATATAGTTCTTACTAAAACCGGCGTTCTATTTTAAGTACTTCTAATAAAGCCGCTTAAAAAGTTATATACGCCTAAAGTAGAACTTAGATTTATAATTTACTTTTATTTTACGGTATAACTTAAGCTATATATAAAGGCCCACCTATCTTTTATAATATATCTACCTATAAGAAGGCAGTCGGCTATATATCTAAAAATTAATCTATCTTTCCTTTAAAAATAATATTACTGTCCTTAGAAAATAAGTCTTCTATAGCTTTGCTAAAGATTTAGTCTGCCTAAGTATTAAGTTGCCCTTTTTTTATTTTTTCTGCCTGCTTATACTTACCACGGGCGTTATAGTGCCGTTGCCCGATAGGAACTAGAATAAACCGTTTCTTATATTTTCTTATTCCTAGAGTGTCTAATTTATTAATACCTGGCCTCTTCTTAGTTTTCTTCTTATTCGCATCCTCTATTTTCTCCTTAACCGCCTCCTTAGTTTTGTTTTTAATAGCTTTCTTTTTTATCTTTAGAATAGGACCGTCTAGTCCTTTATTAATATTAATTTTTAAATTACTAACCTCCTACTTTCGCTTTCCAATTATTAGTAATAGTTGTTCCTTTTCGCGGATTAGCTTGCGCTCTTTTTCTTTAAACTGCGCCAGCCTGTGCCTTAAACTTTTATACTTTTTCTTTTCTACCTTTAACCGTCTCTATTTAAGAGCTGTAATAAATCTCTTCTATTCTAGTTTTCTTATATTCTGCTCTAGTTCCTGTTGTCTTTTAAAAGCAATATTTTGCTATATTTGCGTGCTTTTAAGATTTTTAGATATATAATTAAAGATTTCTTATAGCTTTATATATTTTAACTGTTCCCGGGCTAAAAGAATAGATATATCTAAGGCTGCTGCGTTCTTATTAGATAACTCTTTCTTAAAGAGCGTAAGCCGGTCTTTTAGCGTATTATTTTTATTCTAAGTTTTTAAATATTCCGCCTTTATATTTTTTAAGCGTTTATTAAACTTGTTCGCAATTCTATTATTATATAACTCTAACTTAAGTATACTACTTTTTGCCTTTTCGGCTTTAATTCTTAAAACCTGGCTTTAAGCTTAAAGATTAGTAATTATTTTTTTCGCCTCGGCTCTATTATTCTAGAGATTGGAATTTTCGTTTTGTATTAGAGCTAATTAATAATAAAGTTCGCCGTAATCTATTAATATACGGTGATTAGTATCTTGCAGTGCATTGCTTACTTTATGCGCACTTAGCGTTTCTTGCCCGGCATGTTTAAGTCTACTTTTTAAAGTCTTAATCTCTTTTTACGCACCTATTATTTCTTACCCGGCATGTTTAAGTCTACTTTTTAAAGTCTCGATCTCTTTTTACGTACTTAGTATTTCTTACCCGGTATATTTAAGTCTACTTTTTAAAGTCTTAATTTCTTCGTCCGCAGTTGCGTTCTATATAGTAATATCTAGGTCTATACTAGTCTCTAGAGCTATTCTAT